AACCGTTACAATTATAGTCCCTATCTTGTTTTAAATACTCACAATAAAATACACACAAAAAACACACAAACGTCCCCAAAACATTAACTTCAATTTATATTTCCCTAGTTGAAATTAACTTATTTTATGAAATTGATACATTCGAGAAGATATCGTGATTACATGGTAGCCATCCATGATCCCCATTTAGCCCTAGGTTTTGTATATGAAGCAAATGGTTCTTAAATCTCTTTTTAAATAGTGAAATTGACAAAATATGATACGGTACATCATGATCAAGGAGATAATTCAAAATTTTGGATGCATTAAAAACAAAATTACTATTCTTGGTCTTAGACATTGAGAATTTAGGATATAGCAGTCTGCATGATCTACTTGACTTGCTAAACCGGCGATAAACATCAATGGGAATTTGTTCTTTAAGTAGCCTCATTGCAATACATCCAGTAAGTATGTAAATAAGTTAAACAAGGTTAATAATTTCAAACGAAAGAACATTGGTTTAGTATTTTGAAACTTGTGATCAATCTTTATTGTTTTTCTACTCACAATACGAATACATTTTTTCTGCAACACAAACAGTTTTTGCAGCAAAGGATGGTGAAAAACAGCACCCCACAGTGGTATACAATACATTAAATATGGTTGAACAAGTGAAATATATACTTGTCTTAACACTTTGGCTGGTACTATAGAACTTATTGAGTAGAGTGATCCGCACTCTAGGAAAAACCAGTAATCTGTTTGATCTCTTCCTACCTAGCAAACCGTTTATCAGTTTCCAAGTCTTTTTCAAATCATGTTGATTTGCTTTAAAACATTTATCAAAATACTCAAATTTTTCTTTACTTCTAATAGCATCAAACACTCGTTTGTAATCAACATATTTGTTCCAATTAACTCTAGTTTTATTCATAACCCAAATATCATTGAGTTTGTTTTTAGTGTCACTACTCTTGGCCACTCCTATTGAAATCCAATCAGAGCGAAGAAGAGAATTATTACCACTAGACTTCTGACTTTTAATAAACTCTGGCTTGAATTAGATTTCCTCGCCAAAAGAGTAGGATTCTTACATAAGGCATCCTGCAACACATTATAAACACCATTTTATATATTATTATATCCAAATTATTGAATATTCATTTGTGTTGCAAAATTTTATAATTGAATTTTTTTTTTTTTTTTGGGTTGGGGCACCCACTTTACCTTCCTCTCGGAAGGCTACGTCCGTCTGGTGACTAACGTCTATTGGGGTCCCTCCAGTTGTAGGTGTCACAGGGTACGGGCACTTGGCATGGGCTAGTGCTCCTTACCCTCCGGAGGATAAAGCCTGGTGAGCGACGTTTTCCCGAAGGAAAACTGTCATAATGCTCGTTCTTGGGAGAGCACCACCCATGCCTAGGTGATCTCCCGGGCGCTCTTTTAGAACAGGCTGCCCCCTGTCTTTTCTAGTGAGCAGACAGGAACCTACCGGGCAAACCTGAGCATCTAGTATCTCTTGCCCAAATCTATGATTTCTTTATTTGCGCGCGTCTTTGCGACGCGCGTGCGCGGTATAATGTTGACAATAAGAAGCTACCAAGCAAATTTGTGTTTTGTGAAGACCCTTTTTTTGTTTTATTTGAAATTTTGGGCCGCGTGTGACTTTTCTTTGTTTGTGTGTTTGTGTTGCTTCCGTTTACCGGAGTTTTTCTGGGTGCTAATTATCCACTAGCTGGAAAAGGAGTAAGTGCTAGATATCCACTAGCTGGAGCGGCCCGGGGGGCGGCGTGTGAGTGAGTGAGTGAGTGGGGGTGGGTACGCCTGGAAATGAGACTGGTGTGATCTGATCCAGTCAGAATGGTACACTGTTGCCAGCTGACTCACCAGCAACAATGCAAGTCCAAGAAGAAAGAAGGAGAGACACTGTCCGTTATCTGGGTGAGCCACCACCGACATTGCTCCCACTTCTGTGGGGCTGAGGGTGTTGGCTCCAAGAACCAGCCGTGAGCGAACAGCGCCTGACCCCCTCTATGGTTAACTTAAGAATAACAGGACTATGCCTTTCTCCAGGCCAATCCGTTCAGTAACCAGCTGACCCAGCACCACCTCCGATGGAAGATGTGGTTCGGATTGGACTTCGCTAGGATTTGTCAGTTTTTCTGTAGACACTAATGCTCGCGCTCCCTCGAGGAAAGACATGAGCCCCGGCGAAACTGACCAAAAACGTGGCAGGGATTCTCACCCTGTTTATAATTGAATTGAATAACCCCCATTAGGTTGTCATGCATGTACATAAATAAATAGACAAAGATGACAGCAATAAAGGTTACACCAGACCTGGAAAAGAATGGAAGCAGTGGACACTTGCTTCCCGGTTCGAAGTTTATTTGCATTTAATTAAGGGTTTAGACAATGGAAACGAGCGTGATAACAAAGGGTACACAATATTAAACTATATAATAACACAGTGAATAATCCGACTACCTCTACTTCAAATCCTAATTAACCTGACTCGCATAGCTTTACCTATCTGAGTCAACCATCGCTGACTATTCCTCCCGGACTCCTATCCTTAATCTAGCGTTACCTATCTGAGTCAACCATTGCTGACTATTCCTCCCGGACTCTTACCCTTAATCTAGCTTTACCTGTCTAAGTCAACCAGTGCTGACTATTCCTCTCGGACTCTTACCCTTAATCTAGCTTTACCTACATCTAATTCAACCAGTGCTGACTATTCCTCTCGGACTCTTACCCTTAATCTAGCTTTACCTGTCTAAGTCAACCAGCGCTGACTATTCCTCTCGGACTCTCACCCGTAATCTAGCTGTACCTGTCTAAGTCAACCAGTGCTGATTCTCGCTCTGCCAGAGCCCAGTGTTGTTTTGACACCTGACCCCTGGGTGTCGGACCAACCATTGTTGACCCCGGCCACAACCAAGCCTGATAATAGTAACTACGTAATGCTCCACTATGATACGACCAATATTATACTGACCACTATAACCATCTACCTAACTAAACGACCTAAGCTTAACAGGTTCTAGCTCCAGAACCTGCCTGGTATCAAAATGACCCCCCTCTCGATCGGGTAAACTGGCACTGAGCTATCCCCAAAAGCTAACCCTCGCTCCACTATTCTGTTGATAGTCCCGCCCTTGTAACCTTAGTATTCTCTAAACACTCCATAACTCAACCTCGTACAAACCCAAACATACTTCGTGTTGACCTAAACTTATGTTAAACCTCTTACTACAGTGCTTGCCCCGGCTAAACAATCCCTAGCTATCCTGTCGATAGTTTCAACAGAGTAACCCTAGTCATCTATAAACACTCCATAAACTACCCTTGTGTTGACCTAAACTTATGTTAAACCTCTTGCTCCCGTACCTCGTACTATCCCCAAAATACTACCGTCACATACTGGACCCCACGGCCGCCTTATTATAATTACTACACTACCTACATAGTACACAATATTACCCTGAATTCATCTCAATTAATCACGGCTTACACAACTATACAAAATCTGATCTTTCTTAGAACCCTACTATACTGGTACAATAATTTAATGGGAAATCCCGCAAAATCTTGCCCGATCACAGCTTACACAACTCTACAAAATCTAATCTTTTTCAGAACCCTATCATACTGCTATCAAGCCTCAATTACGCAGCTGCAGAACATTCAGAACCGAGCATGCCGTCTGGTTTTTGGATTAAAGAAGAGAGACTCAGTCGAGGAGAAGCTCAAATCCCTTCATTGGGTCAAGGTGAAGGAGAGGATTGAGTTTAAGTTATGCTTACTGATTTTCAAAGCAGTCAATGGTGTTGCTCCTGCATATCTGTGTGATCTAGTAACATTTGTTAGTTCGAGTAGCAGAAGAACTTCCTCCTTACACCTACCCGTCGGATCTACAAGATCGCACCCAAGAGCGTTTCAGACTGTTGCTCCGAAAATCTGGAACCAACTACCAATTGAAATTAAGACTTGTTCCGATGTTGATCTGTTCAAAACATTATTAAAAACTCACCTGTTTAAGAAAAGTTATGGCATAAGCGATTAATTGACAATATAACTTTATGTTATTTGCTTAAACTGTTTAGGATGCAACCTAATGTCATGATCTTTTTGAACTTATTAGCAATTAGACTGTTAGCTCGCTTCACAAGCATGTCATCTTCGTTCCAAAACTTTTTATGTCCTATGCATACACTCCTTGATAGTTATCTTGATCTAGTATCTTTGTTTCGCACAATAGAGCATAAGTTTTGTGGTTTATCCACTGGGCTTAGAGTTTGTGTTTAAGCTACCAAATTTTATTATTATAAAGGGTCTCAATAAGAGGTCTCGACTGCCTAGGCGTCAGACCTTGGCAGTCGGTAGTTTTCCTCTGGCCCGGGATCAGCTGACCCTAGGGACCAGAGGATAAAGGTGTAGAAACTATATGTATCTACAAAACTTTCAAGGTTGTTTTTACAAGAGACAGGGCTTGCTGCGCAAGGGAAGAAAAGCGGGAGAAACACTCACAAATTATACAAATAAATATTATAAAACAAAGCAAAAAGAAATTCAAACAATCCTACACTACTACAAATGTTTATTACATACTACAATGTGATACATGATAATTATATGCTGTATAGACAAGAAACAGGGCTTGCAGGGCAAGAGATGGATCAAAGGGACTAGTCACAGAGTGTAATATACAGTGATTCAGCAAGAACCCATTGCTGAATCTGGCACACAAAATACCACAATCAATACAAAAATATACAATATTATATCAAACAATATGTTTATACAAGAATCAGGGCTTGCAGAGCAAGAGAAGAAAAATAAGAGAAAACTACCATCAACTATATTATTATTATTATTAACTGCTGGCACACTAACTGAATGGAAAATCTCGTAAAAATCCTGTAATCCTGTAATCCTGTAATCCTGTAAAAAATCCTGTAATCCTGTAATCCTGTAAATCCTTAATCCTGTAATCCTGTAATCCTGTAAGGTTGTCATGCATGTACATAAATAAATAGACAAAGATGACAGCAATAAAGGTTACACCAGACCTGGAAAAGAATGGAGATGTAATTGAAAATGGTGTCAGCAATGATACAGCCATTGACTTAAGGTAATAATTTCTTCAGGAGTTCTATTATATTAAGAGGGTGAGAAAATTTACCTCACATTTTGCTTTCTGTGAAACTACGCCTAAGCTATGTCCTATATCGTTATCAACTGACTGTTGAAATAATGTTACAATTATACTGTAAATTTTAAATGTGTTTTTCAGTGATGATGGTGATAAGAAAGGTAAGAAGGGGAAGAAGGTGAAAAAAGGAAAAGATGAAGAAGAAAAAAAGCCAGAGATGGTTCCATTTGGCCAATATGTGAGTCAAATGAATCATCATTAATCATTACACTACTGCAAGTCCTGCTGTGTCTCTTACTTAAGATGCTTTATTATTACAAATTAATAGAATTCAATATTTTTCAGTATCGATATGCCACTAAGTTAGACGTGCTCTATATCATAGTTGCCATATTCTTTTCTGCTATAAAAGGGTTTGCTTGGCCTTCTATCATGATCGTTTTTGGTAAGTTCAATATAATTTGAATGAGTAAAATTCTGGTGATAACTATTTTCTTAATATTCAGAATTTCCATTTAAAATTTATCAATTTGTTCTCGAATTATCGTAAGTCCCAAAATCTAATCTCTGTAAAAAAATACTTCATGCTCCAGGAAAAATGATAGATGATCTAGTTGGATCAGATAAACAAACGGTTCAGGGATCACAAATGGCTTTGTTTGCTTACATTTACATTGGAATGGGCTTTTGTAAGTAAAAAATATGAATAATTTAAATTCATATATATTTCATATTTAAGATAAATATCTGCCACTTTCAACTCCGGATTATTTGCAGTTTGGAAAATTAGACTGTATTACTTCTAATTAACCAATCAGCTCGCAAGGGCATCCAACATCGGTTTTCCAGTGACCATCATCAATACTTAGCCACCTCTTCTGATCTTATTCACACATGTTTATTTCGATGTAAGGTCTGACTGTGTATACTACATTACAGTGAACATATTAGCTGGATACCTCTCGACCACGCTCATGCTGCTGTCAGCGGAACGACAGTCCAGCAAGGCAAGGAACGAGTACTTCAGGGCTATCATGAGGCAGGAGATAGGATGGTTTGACGAAACCTCCAGCGGAGAACTCACAACTAGGCTGACTAGGTTAAAATCTCAAAATTTTAATCTTATTAGGAGGGTTTGAGATTGCAAATTTCAGTGTTAATCCATAAATTGTTTGGTAGTTTGACTCATGCTGTGAAACATGCATGTAATCTTATAATACAGGGTCGTTTGTTTGCAAACTTGCAATGTCACCTTGACTATTTCGGTAGTTGAACCTCACAAAGTCACAATTAGTTACATTACATCAACCCCACAATAATATGTGCTTTCGACCTTAAATCGTCTAAATCGTGTAACTTTATGTGCCCAGAAAAAGAAAATACTAATTTTTAGAGAACAGCTGCCTTAATAACCGAGTAAACTGCTGGCCATTAGTAACAGGAGTATCATTTCTCTGTAATTTCTAACTGTGTCATTTACCTCGTCTCATATAATGACTTTACTCTTGCCAACAATTTATAGAATTTTCTAGCGAAAATAAAGTGATATGTCAGAATCAGAGTTATTGAGTTCGTATTCTCAGCTCTTCATTTATTACAAAATAGGACAAAATCAAATTACCAAAAATGTTGTTAAAAAAGTTCTGTCGCGCAGTATCTCAGTTAACTAGGTCTTGAATGTAAATTCCTCCGCATCAAAATGGGGGCCAAAATATGTAATTAATATTTTAATGCTTTTGGACACAAAGGGAAACACACGACGTAAGGCTTGAAATCTTCGTAAAACTACATCATTGGAGCCTGTAAAAACATTACTCTATCAAGTAAAATTAATTAATATTATGTCTTGACACGAAGCAACATAACAGTGAACATATTTCAGTGATATCAACAAGCTGAAAGATGGAATGTCGGACAAAGTATCTATGGCAGTTCAGTGGATAACAGCCTTCTTGGCCGGCTTTATCATTGCCTTCTTTTACGAGTGGAGATTATCTCTCGTCATCATGTCTACTTCACCCCTACTAGCTATTTCTGGATATCTCTTTAGTAAGGTTAGCTGACAGTCCTCAAGTTAATGATATGATATGATGAGTATTTAGTCTGAAAATTTTAATATCTCAAACTCTATTTTTAAAGAAACCACCGATTTATTTAATTACTGAGAGTTGTTATTTAATCGAAAGTATAGAAAGTTGTAGCCATGACAATCAATAATAATAGAGGGGGGTTCCAACCTCATTCTGCCTCATTCGGGCAGCGAACCCTCCAATAGATTAAGTAAAATCAACATGTTATTTTGAATTGATTCAAACGAATTTAAGATCATTTGATGTTTGAAGAGTCTTCTGACTCGACTGCATATTTTGATTGTTATAATGATCACTTATCACATAACTTTGCAGTTCATGGCGGAATTTTCCGAAAAAGAGCAGAGTGCGTACGCAGATGCGGGAGGTATCGCAGAAGAAGTTATAGGTGCAATGAGGACAGTGGTATCATTTGGGGCAGAAAATCACGAGTCAAAACGTTACAATAAGAAGTTAGAATCTTCAGAGGCAAACGGAGTAAAGAACGGGCTGTTTTCAGGAATTTCCATCGGTATGACTATGTTGATCATGTTCATGACATACGGCCTGGCTTTCTGGTGAGTTTTTGGATTGTTAATATTATTTTATGATTTTATCGATTTCAAACGAGGTATAATCCTGTCAAATTTCCTATGTATACCATAGTGTAACAGTGTAACAGTGTAGCAGTTATAGTGTAGCAATATATTAGTGTAACAGTGTAACAGTAGTGTACCATTGTAATAGTGTAACAGTGTACCAGTGTACCAGTGTACCAGTGTAACAGTGTAACAGTGTAACAGTGTAACAGTGTAACAATGTAACAGTGTAACAGTGTAACAGTTATAGTGTAGCAATATATTAGTGTGACAGTGTATCAGTGTAACAGCTGTAGTGTACCAGTGTAACAGTGTACCATTGTAACAGTGTACCAGTGTAACAATGTAACAGTGTAACAGTGTAACAGTGTAACAGTATTAATATCAGTATTGGTCAGGTATGGCGCTAAATTATGCGGTGAAGGTAAAGCTCTCCCTGGTGATATTCTCATTGCTTTCTTCAACATCCTGATTGGTTCCTTTGCAATGGGCCACGCAGCCCCTCATTTCCAAACCATGGCAGAGGGTCGAGGTGCAGCTTTTACTGTCTTCAAAACCATTGACAGGGTGAGTTGAGAAATATTATAGCTAGGACATGTTTAATAAACATTGTTACTGTATTGTTTAGTATGTATCATGGTTACACGTGCGTCGTGCATAACACCCGTACTTAGTAGCATATTCATCAAATTCTCAAAGATATCTTTGAGGTATAAGTCTACTCTATTAAACACTATACAGTATACACGCGATAGTTTCTTGCTGAAAAGACTGCACAGTGAACCGCAACTTTTTATGTAGCTGATAGTCAACAGATATAATTAGCCCTGGGACAGCAAATGTGTCATCTGAACCACAATATTTGGGACAATCGCTGTTTATTTCTTTCTAATAATTAATGATTGATGAGCTCTAGTCCATAAGATGAGCTCTAGATCCAAAAAATCAGCATATGTCAGTGCAATCAAGACTCTTGATTGAACTGAAATATGCTGATTTTTTGTAGTTAATCAGTCGGATAGGATCACGGATTGTTTGATTGATATTCAACTGGGCACTGGCCACTGATTGACTAATAATGCTGATGTCATCACCATGAATAGTGAATAGTTCAGCTATCATAGCATGTTATTTACCATTAATAACTAGGCTTGCACTGCAACACATACACAATGTGTAAACCAAATAGTTAACCATTCCTGTAATTTACACCATGATTTACACTAAACACGCGCGAACAAAATCAGAAATTTACGTAAAAACTTGCGGTTGGACACATACACGGCGAAAGAGTCAAGACTTGTTATTTTTATGTATAAGACGTATACTATCTTCTTTTTGGTTCGACAGAAGATAAGATTTTACTGTGACCAAGTTCTGATACAAGTTAAATGTGAGATTATGTCAAATGATTGTCAGGAATCTAAAATAAACTACGAGAATGACAGGGGAATGATTCCCCCGTCATGCGCTGGGAAGATTGAGTTTAAGAATGTCGATTTCTGCTACCCTTCAAGAAAAGATGTTCAAATCATGAAAGGTTTGGCTCAAAATTTTGTTTTTAAAATACAACTTTCTGATAGAAATGGAGTAAATTGCAAAACTTCTATGAAATGTTGCGAAACTAAAATCTAAATCCACGCTCTTAACGAAATGTTGTGAAACTATATTAACACTCAGTGAGAGATGAAGGAGTGAAAGAAAGTGTCTAATTCTCGTCACTCACTCAGGGTTCAATTTAACACTGGAGACTGGTGAAACACACGCTCTGGTAGGACCCAGTGGTTGTGGTAAAAGCACCGCTGTAGGGCTCATCGAGAGGTTCTATGACGCTGATCAAGGAGAGGTATTACAACTCCAAGTTTTCCAACATGACCACTTGTTGAACTGCTCAACGTCTCCGACAGTACATCAAGAAATTTAAAATAAAAAACACTTAAACTTGCTCCTCCTTCTGAGTAAGCACAACCAACTCACCAACAGTGCACTGAACTGATTGACTACTCCCTTCATCCCAGGTATTACTGGACGGAGTGAACATCAAAGATCTCAACCTAGAGTGGTTGCGTAATCAGATCGGTCTGGTTGGCCAGGAGCCACTTTTATTTGCTACTACTATCGAGGAGAACATCAGATATGGCAGGAGTGACGTCACTCAGACACAGATTGAGGAGGCTTGTAAGAAAGCTTTCGCTCACGATTTCATTATGGAACTGCCAAATGTAAGTTTACTTTTATCTACATAGATTATTTCTTTGGGACTGTAGATGCTGCAAAGTTTCGGGTAAAGCAATGTTAATAACCGATTTAGTCTTAGATCAAGTATGTACTAGTAACTAAGTTCTAAAAGTCTGTTTTAAAACTTATCACAAACATGTACTCTTATCTTCACTCTTATCAGAAATACCAAACTCTATGTGGAGATCGCGGATCCAAATTGTCAGGGGGTCAGAAACAGCGTGTTGCCATTGCACGTGCTCTGGTGCGCAACCCTAAGATCCTGCTCCTGGACGAGGCGACGAGCGCGCTGGATAACAAGAGCGAGGATATTGTACAGCGGGCACTGGATGTCGCTGCGGAGGGCAGAACTACTCTCATCATCGCTCATCGGCTCTCTACTATCATCAACGCTAACACCATTTCTGCTATTGGTATGTTTTGTATTATATTTTTATAATTTTTATTTAACTTTCTCAGAGAAGCTAATTCGTTAGTTTTACATCAGTAGACTAACGAATCATATTGTAACCAAGTATTTAACCCCGAACCCTCTGCTCCTTTACTAATTACTAAGTGTTTAATTTGACTCTAATTTCAGGAGAATACAAGTGCATAGCAGAGGAAGGAACGCATGAGGAATTGTTAGCAAAGGAGGGACTTTACCACACACTTGTCATGTACCAGCAACAAGTCCAGGTATAGTAAACTTGCCGAGCATGTATATCCGTTACAGTTTCTCCAGGCCATAATAATATGATGAATTTAGTTGAATATCAGTCTCCATCATAGCTACTAGAAATACGGACGGATGGTTCTTAGTCTGTACCATCAAAGTGCAGAAAGATTACCTTCTCCACACAGTTTTACACAACAGCTCCGGTTTACACTGAAGAAATACAAAATTACCCAGCTTGTTTCACTTTGTCTGGCAAGAGCCGTGAATCGTCGTGGTCCATACAATAATCTTATTACAAGCAAAATGATGTGGAACTTCTTGTTCCTTACTAAACATTCTGGAATATTCTTTGTTATATCCCGTGAGTCACAGGATATAACAAAGAATATTCCGTGACTCCCTTGTCCTTATTACACAAAATTTATGTAAACATGAAAACGACGTATCTCGAGGCGACCTGCTTGTGACTCAAGATGTTTCGATTTCATGGGTTCATGACTACTATCAAGGTATGTAATATGTATCACTCAAATAAGTTGCCATGATTTTACAAACAACTTAATTTTAACGTAACGTAGGCATCCTACCTTAATTTATGCATTTTCATAAAAATAACAATTACTAATTTTAAATTTATAAGTAAAATTGTCAGTAACTTTATTTCGTGTCATATCTCACAGCGGCTTAGGTTGTGGTGAGTACCTAATGACTTAATGAAAGCCTCACCATCTTATGAGAAGAAAAGATTCGGTATATAATATCGTCTCGATTACACCTGTCATAAAATATTTGTAGTGCAATTGTAATTAGTTTAAAACCAATTTTTATGAAGTAATGGCCTCGTATGGATATTGGAATCACGAGTGGTTGAAATTAATGTTCAAATTTTAGAGGAACAGAATGTTTCACCTCGTCATTTTTCATCCTGAATTGCAGGGTTTCAAAAGGATTACCGATTATGGTATGTTGTGGCATGGTATGTGGTGAGTCCAGAGATAAATCCAGGGTGGTAAAATCCATTGTTCCAACTTTCTCGTTAAAGGTTGTGAATTGTGTTCGTGTATATAAACTGGAAGTTCTTAATACGGCCGCATTCCGACACTCTACGTAGAATCATGGATATAATACTTAATATTGGAGATTGCTTTCGTCGGATATGATGACGTACTAAATTGTTATGTCAGACGATAGATTAATTATGTGTCCGTCGAATAATTTTGAATGATGGATAGAAATACCAACAAATGCTAATATACCCTAGTTTATTGTACGTCAATCCGGTTAAAAAAAATACATATTTTAGCAGTTAAAGATTGTGTAGCCCTCCAGCCGATCTGCATTATAGTTCTTCCTACTATAATTATACACCTGTGTTAAATACTTGATAAATGAATATTCATTAACTTAAAACAAGAAATCTACCAAACTATAACCTTCAATAAAGCAATTAAAATGTCAGGGAGTCTGTGAAGGAGATGAAGTGGACTCAAACCTTTTGGTAAACTATACCGTCTGCTACCTAGCTACATCTAGCACTTGTCATTACTTGATTAATCAATTAGTAATTACTTAATTGATTATCACTCACATTCATATGCGTTTTCAAAATTTGTTTGCTGAGCTGAGTGTTCTTGATTGTACTCACACATTATCCCAAGTTCTCTACAACAGATCACATACAACCAGTTCGATATGTATATTGTACTTACTTGATCGTTAGTTACATGCTATGTTACACAGTTTAAAACTAAAGTTAAACACTTCACATATATAATCACATTATTAGCCACGATAATTTGTGTACATTTAATTTTCTAAAATATGGTCCCAATTATTGGGGAATGTTCAATGTCCATGCTGAGAATATACTTAGTCAAAGTTCAGTTCAAAGAATTTAAGAAACGTTCATGTTCCTTAAATGACTATATTAATTAATACTATAGCTGCACTGATTGATATATACATATTGTGTTTCTCATAATTATAGTTCTTCTAAAATTTGGGTTTGAGTCATATTGCCACATTGATTAATTACAATTATATTGAAATAATTAATAACTATTAGTGTCTTCGTGTTTTGCCCGGCTGATATTCTCTGTTCTAAATGTTTAACTCAATTTGAATTGGTTGTCTAAGGACATCGTATATATTATACAGGGCGAGTTGAAAATAGTGTGTAAAATGTAAATGGCTCTAATTTTTTTCATGAAGGAGCAAATTTTGAAAGGTGAATTGCTATCAGTTCATAAACGTTACAAATTTCATTCTTGCCCCTCATTTGATTCTAACTCATAATTTGGTTGATTTTTGGCAGTTTTCCAAAAAATCGTAAATTCGTCCTAATGGGGATCTCAAATCGCGTGCCCTGAAAATCGAGTCTAAAAAGCTATCTTCTCCTATACTACATTATTTGAGCTATAACCCTGAAAATTTCAGGATATGTTTTAGAAATCATTTAAAGAAGAGATGAGCCTGATAAAATTTGAGATAGGCCTTTAAAAATTTTTCATCAAAAAAACTCATCACGGCACGCAATCAAAAATCGCTCGCGCAATTATACAATTACCACACACGCGCTGACCTTTGACCGACAATAATTTCGGCTAGGAACGATATTTTTCCACGGGATCAAAAGCATTTGATTTATTAAAAAAATTATTAATTATTAAGTATTTTTATTGTACTATTATAATATTTATATATTCTCATTACCTAAATATGCAAACATTTCATGGAAAATTTCATTTGTCAAAAAAATTAGAGTCATTTACATTTTACACACTATTTTCAACACACCCTGTATTATACATTTATCACATGCCTTCTCATGCGATATCAAAACTTTCGCCCACGAGGCTTGCCGAGTTAGCGAAAGTTTCGATATTTCCCGAGGCTTGCCGAGGGTTATATCGACATTTTCAATCACGAGGCTTGCCGAGTTTTGAAAATGTTGATATCGCATGAGAAGGCATGTGATTAATGTTTTATCACACTTTCTTTGGAGCCAAATTTGGCCGGGAAAGCAGAATTTGATCAAACGTTAGTTATAAATCTCACCAAAGCAAAACTAGACATGTCGAACGTTTATAATGTCCAAGCTATATGTATAGCTCTCGATGAGTTAGTATTTCAGATATCGAAGATACAATACGTAAAATTAGGATCTCACGTTTTCACATTTATGACACAGTGAATGCTGTACGACGCGCCCAATTTGCTTTCTTATACTGATACGTAGTGCATGTAATATTAAATATATTCACGCCTATGGGTCTCGTACTTATTGCAGTCTAGAATATTCCACCACAAGCGCGTCTTTGAATCATAAATTATATCCTAGATATCAATCAATGTGAGGTGATTCTTATACTTTATTTCTATTAGATATATTTTGAGTCATTAAAACTGAAGATGTATAATGTATAGAACATCTGTTTTAGTGTTGATTACATCCTAGTCCTTATCATGTAATACTAATCTGCGATAAGGTGATAGTATTTCCTGGTTGTTATATTTGAATTGGGCTGTGGCGCCATGATTGTCTATTCATAAGTCCACATTATACACTGCACACCCTAATTTACACCAACAATATTATCGTCCGTCTTGATTCTTGATTGTCTGTTATTTCAGAATGATTTAATCAATGCAACTTGTAATCGTTGACTTAGAATTTTATCAAGTATTCTGCTTAGTTCTTAGTCAGTATTCATCTTTACTTGCCATTATTTGCCATTATCTGCTTCGAGCTAGAAATTATCTGAACTGGAAATTATCAGAACATTTGTAATATTCAAATGTATCTCTTCAACATTTTAGAACGCAGTAGTCCACCAGCCTATAACCACCCTGGTCATGGCCAGGTAGTTCACCCGTACTGTTACCAATATTGAATTGGTCTAATGAATGGCAGCACATTAATCATCGGACCTGTTTGCCCCAGTGCCCAGACTAATTTATAACCAGATTAGCTGATTAAGTTACGTCATTCGTCCCTTGATATATTTATATAAATAATATATTTTATAGGATGTTTTTATTGCACTCATTTGCACTAACTAAAATTCAGTTAAAACTAGTCCTGGGATAGAATTTCCGCTCTTTATTGTACAGAATCTACATATAAGTCTCTTTATCAGTCTGTTTATAGATCAGCCACGAATTTCGCAAGCTAATCTAGGCGAAACCGGTTTGGAAAAGCCAAGCATAATTTCTGCACAATTTCTATATGGAATATGGCTCAAAGAAGGGATCAGAGGGGGTTAAAATTGAGGTCTGAAATGGCTGAAATCTGGCTTTGTTTTGTGTGTTTTCTTCGTTCGAATTAATCAAACATCGTCTAGTGTTTACTATTTTTTGTGAGGGTGACTGTAGTTTGTTCTGACACTTCCTTTTTAATTTCAAGTAAGCGATTAAGGAAATTAATTATCCTGATTGATTGTATCGCTGACAAGTACCAAAACTTTGTTAAACTTTCAAGTCTGCTTGTAAACTTTGATCTCGTTTTCAATAACCTTAAGTCACTTAAAGCTCGTACAAGCCAGGGAGTTTTTACTTTGTTTCATCATCCGAAGCCTAATTAAGCTTTGAACTATAAAGTGCAATAAAAAGGGAACAGCTTGAAAAAGTTTTACAACAAAAAATTTTATTTTGCTTGACGCATCTCAAACACAAGGAAATATTTTCAAAACCATTTATAAATATAAATTTTTCCTTATCCTGGAAAGTTCATCTGATCATTGCATTAACGGTCATAGACTACTTCGGGTTGTTGATTTAAATCTTTATTTAAATCAGTACCTCACAGTAGTAGAACAGTTGTTGAGAGTGGGCTCCTTGTTCCTATGGGAATATCGGGCTCTCTCTGAGCAACTGATTGATATTTCATGCCCCCGGGTGAGAGCCAGTGCTCCCCATTGGGGCATGTAATATCAATTCTGCTTTCCTGCCAAATTTGGCTCGAAAGTGTGATAATATATTGTATTATATATTGTTGTTATTGATATTCCCTTCTGGATAGACACCAGACAGACCCACATTTTCAGTACTTAGAGGAACAAATCATATATCGTGTCTTGAGACTTATGTCTACATTATACATTGTACGTGACGTTAGAGTAAAATGCACACAGTGTACACAGTAGTAGTACACACTAAACATCAACTATCCGTAGTCACATCAATGATACTGAAATACTAATACCTCCTAGACGAGGCAATCTTTCAGTAATGTACGCGGTGGTCTTTCTCAAGCAAATAATCTAGCAAGCTGGACATCACGCAATCAAATACGATCAAATGATAAACTTTAAAGACACATGATATGCTGTGTTGGCTATAATTCATCATTTAAAATATGTTCACATACTGGTCACATACTGGTCACATACTGGTCACATACTGGCCATTCAAATGGTACTCTCATACATATTTTAGTAAATTTTCACCACAAACATGGTTGCGTTACAAAAGCTGTACTGTTAAAATAATTAGTAAAATATAAGTAGAGTTAAACTAAGTAGAGTTAAACAAAGTAAAGTTTTTTTATTTGGCAGAAAGTTCATGCTGGTTTTATATTCACAAGCTTTCTGATATTACAATAATTGTACGAGGTTAAGATTGGCTAATTTTACTGTTAAGTAAAGTTCAACATTAACAAGCAAGTTACCGCCTATTTTTCTGTCAGTCTGGATTGAAATGTAATAGCTCTAACTTCTTAACTGAAACTGTAAGTATGCTAATTGCTACAAAAAGCGCAACAAGTTCCAAGCTAGATATTTAAAGGGTTGGGCAAATTTTACTTAACGTAAGCACAGTTAAGCAGTACGGGATGAACCCCATTTTGCTGTGCAGTACATACATCTACATTGTGTTTATTATGGCCCACCTTGTAGCTAAATTTGCGCTAACAAAATCTATGAATGTTTGCTAAATTTCATTATGTATACCGAAAGGTGAGGTTTATTAACGATTTGTTGTCCACTTGATGAGATCAATAGAGCCAAGGGAATCTGAAAATGTAAGGCATTACAAAGTAAGCGTGCGTTTTTGTGATCTAAATTCGATTCTGAGACCTAGATATATCACATATAACTTATCTTGTACACTTACACTGCAATAAACTCCACAAATCTACATGAACATTCCTGTCTGAAGGGTATCTTTTACTTTTTAACTAAGTTTTCTTCGTGTTATAAACTGATTTTTAAAAAGTTGGTAATAGTAGTACTATTATAAGTTATTTTTCTTACTCAGTTGATTGTATCAGTAATATGTTATTAAATACTAAAATAGCACAGTTCAATAAATGGAAGATTCAGATGAATAATAAAAATAAAAATGACTTAGTAGATCCGTATAATAATATAATATTTGAGCTATTTTTAGTCATCCACTTTGTGTGTATCAGAGGAAGAGAAGTACATTGCAATTGTTCTAGACTATTGTTTGTTTATACACAATATTCATTGTGTATCATATTGTGTCATATTGATATTGAGCTCTCAAAATAAACATCATTCCAGCAATATCTCATAACAAAACGCATTATCTCAGAACGAAGGTGGAGAAGATCTACCAGCCCTACCCAGCTATGAGGACGTCCAGAGAAAGGTATGTGGACTGTGTATTTAAAAAATACTTACAGTAACTTACAGCTTTACAGTACAATGACATTCAATGACTTACAATTACTAATATAATTATAAAAACAACTTTCAATGGCCTGAAATAGATACAATGCAACTTTCAGTAACTTATAGTACAATAACTTAAAATTGCTTACAATAGTCAACAGTAACATTATCTGATTGTTAGGGGGTCAGGATGAAGCCCCCGCCCCCCTCTTCGACACGACATCGACATAAAATACCCCGTCAGCAGATTGCTGCTATCAAAAACTCTTCACAGCAAACAATTTCTCCTGTTTTTATAACATTTAATTACCATACGCTCAACACTGGTATCTGAAATCCCTTCATCACTAATTTGTACACTAATCAGTATGCCCGCTACTTCAGAATTGTATTGTTTATCATTGTGTCGCGTGGAGCAACAGCCATGAGAAGGTTACAACAATTTCTCACCATAGCAACCTGGCAACTCTCTATAATATAAACTTTGAACACGGTCCTCCATCACGTACAAACTAATACTGGCTCACATTCTATCAGATCTAAGTGTACTTCTTTTCATAACTTCGCACAGAGTGGGTCCGTTGACAACAACAGCAACAACCCTCGGCCTCAGCTATGGTTATCCAACGAACGAAAATAGATGAGGGGGGGGGGGGGGGGGGGGGGGGGGGGGGTGGCCAACCCTTTTGTCAATTTCTTTTCCAACTTTTGGAAAATAAATTAAAAATGGGCATGGGCATTGATTTTTTTAAAGCCTTAAAAACAGCTAAAACCTGATTTATGATTAAAAATAAACATCACCGACGGGTTCACCGTCCTTTAATTAATAAGTACAGCTATATTTCAGCTCAGTAAAGTATGGTATATCAGAAATATTTATTTTTTGACTTTTTCGAATTCGACCGGATTTTGACCAAAAATTTGTAAAGATGATCCCCATTTTGCCCATTTATTCCTCAACTTTTGGTCAAAAAGGCATGGGCATTGATGAGGTTGGCCCCTCCCAATATCATTCTTATTGATGCCAGCTCAAAAACAAATATTTTGTACGTGATCGATATTTTATAAACTTCCTGGAATCGAATGAGTTGCATTGAAGCAAATTGAAAGTTATCAATATCATGATAAACATTCTTTGTTATCAAGACCTCAAGACCCGAACAAAAGTTTGAAAGTTCGTATTGGGGGGGGGGGGGGGGGAGGGCATTAGATCACACTGTATCTTGATGACATAATCCTGGTTCAAATTAGATTACAGTTACAGAAGGCAGCGCCAGCATATTGTAATGTGATGATCTCATTCAAAACTGGTACTGGTAGTTTTCAGCACTGCCAGATAATATGCGAGAGGAGCCAGTGTTTTTAGACCAAACTCTATCGAATTTTGCTCCGCCGAAATATGAAGAAACTGTTATAGCATATGGTGAAGAGAATGTACCAAGCTATGAAGACGTAATTTGATATGGTGATGGTGATGGTGGTTATGATTGTGGTGGTGGTTATGGTGGTGGTGATGGTGGTGACTGATGAAAATAAATGAACAATCCATTTGGGGGGGGGGAGGGCATTAGATCACACTGCATTAGATCACACTGTATCTTGATGACATAATCCTGGTTCAAATTAGATTATAGTTACAGAAGGCAGCGCCAGCATGTTGTAATGTGATGATCTCATTCAAAACTGGTACTGGTACTGGCATGCTTGATGGCGTGGAGACGTGATGTAAATTACATAGATTTCGAATGAGCAGGAGAGGATACTTATAGTTGTATCATTACAAGTTTAACCCACAAGGCTAGAATGATAAATGCCATTATATGATGACAAATTTATTTTACAAATTTATTTTACAAATTTCGTGGATGAGATTGATTACGGTATCTAGCGTATCAGTACTATATAAAGCATTAGGCAATGGCAGCGTGCCAACTAAATTTAACGTGCCAATACAATTGTGTGGACCTCTTCTAGAAACGAGGTACATCCTAATTTGTAAAGTCTTATCTATCAAAAATTTAAATCTAGAAGTTCTAGAAATGTCTTGTCGACCACATGACAGTTACCACTCATAAAATGACGCCGAAGCCTACTGCCCATTTTCCAGAAAAAACAGTTAGTACATCTTACTATATATAAAGCGAGACGATATATATCCTTACCATTTTACTGACACCAGGCATCAACTTTAACACGATTTTCCGCAAAAACCGTAAAAGATATAAAACTGAAACTTTTTTGACTGGGTCAAATGTCTTATTGGCCTTCAAATCAGCATGAAAAAATAAAAAATTGGCCAAGAAATAAAAATTTTAGTGCCCAAAATTTGGACCCCCAGTGGTGTCAAAAACGCGAATTAAATAGGTAATAATTTATTTAAGTATCTTGAGTCTTGACACCACTTAAGGGTTAGACAGGTTCCTGCTAGTGGTACTAAAGGGGGTGTCTAACCCCAAAAAAACCCATTTTACCTCTAATTTCAATTTTGGGAATGGGTTTTGAGGTTTTTTTAGTTTTTTAAAGGGTTTTTTTTTATTTTTAAAATTTTGTAAAGTCTTCCTTTAAAGTTTAAATGAGCTCTTAAAAAAAAGCAATTTCTGGGTGGGTATCTTATTCTATATACCAAAAAACAGTTAGTACCACGATTTTTCAACAGTTAGTACCGCAAAAGGCGCAAAAAAACAGTTAGTACCGCAAAAAAACAGTTAGTACCGCAAAGGGGGTGGGTGTGTCTAGTGAAAAATATCCAAAACTACACTTAGTCGACGTGATGTCCGACACTTGGTACCCGATCTCTTAAATATTTGAGAAAAGTATTTAAAATAAATATTGACAGATTGATTGATATATCCGTTCAAAATTCTGACCAATATAATAATACAAAAATGGAAAAAATGTCCCCTGGCATAGTACGGGTTAACAATAAAACTTATTACTGTAGGTATAGAAAGCGAAGCTGCAGTAGATTATATAATATATAGCAGTACTTGTATATAAATGTTCACCTTTCAGTCTCCGATATTCGCTATGGGTCAAAGCCATTATTAAAGACGAAAAACCTAACTTAAAATTAGCGGGGGGGGTGTCACGTCCGTCTATGTCCGCTTGTCTCATAGAATCCAAAAAGGACAGGACATAGGCGGACATAGGCGGACATAGGCGGACATAGACGGACATAGGCGGACATAGACGGACATAGGCGGACATAGGCGGACATAGGCGGACATTAATGGACACCTAAATTGCTAAATAAAATGTTCAATTTTTGCTGTTATAGGGGGGATCATGTTTTTTGTCCGTTCGGTAGTACCCTATATTTTCAAAACGGACAAAAAATAGAGCGGACAAAAACGGACAAAAATGGACAAAAACGGACAAAAATGGAAATAACATTTAGATGCTTCCTCCTCCTACTCTTCCTCCTCCTCCCCCTGGGTCTTCCTGATCTTCCTCAGTCCTCTTCCTCCTCCCCTCCTCAGTCCTCCTCCTACTCCTCCTCCTCGTCCTCAGTCCTCCTCATCAGTCCTCAACAGTCCTCCTCCTCCCCAGTCCTCCTCCTCCTCCTGAGTCCTCCTCCTGGGTCCTCCTCCTGGGTCCTCCTCCTCCTCTTCATCCTCCTCCTCTTCCTCCTCCTCGTCCTCAGTCCTCCTCATCAGTCCTCAACAGTCCTCCTCCTCCCCAGTCCTCCTCCTCCTCCTGAGTCCTCCTCCTGGGTCCTCCTCCTGGGTCCTCCTCCTCCTCTTCATCCTCCTCCTCTTCCTCCTCAGTCCTCAGTCCTCCTCATCAGTCCTCAACAGTCCTCCTCCTCCCCAGTCCTCCTCCTCCTCCTGAGTCCTCCTCCTGGGTCCTCCTCCTCCTCTTCATCCTCCTCCTCTTCCTCCTCGGTCCTCAGTCCTCCTCCTCCTGGGTCCTCCTCCTCATCCTTCTCATCAGTCCTCCTCCTCCCCAGTCCTCTCCCAGTCCCCCTCCTTCTCCTCCTCCTATTCAGTCCTCCTCCTCCTCCTCCTCCTCAGTTCTCCTCAGTCCTCCTTCTCATTTCTCCTAAGTCCTCCTCCTGAGTCCTCCTCCTCTTCCTTCTGAGTCCTCCTCCTGAGTCCTCCTCCTCCTCCCTCTCAGTCATCCTCCTCAGTCATCCTCCTCAGCCATCCTCCTCAGCCATCCTCCTCAGTACTCCTCAGTCCTCCTCCTTCTCAGTCATCGTCAGTCCTCCTCCTCAGTCCTCCTCAGTCCTCCTCCTCCTCCTGGGTCCTCCTCCTCCTCCTCCTGGGTCCTCCTGGGTCTTCCTGATCCTCCCCAGTCCTCTTCCTCCTCCCCTCCTCAGTCCTCCTCCTACTCTTCCTCCTCGTCCTCAGTCCTCCTCATCAGTCCTCAACAGTTCTCCTCCTCCCCAGTCCTCCTCCTCCTCCTGGGGCCTTTTCCTGGGTCCTCCTCCTGGGTCCTCCTCCTCCTGGGTCCTCCTGGGTCCTCCTTCTCCTCCTCAGTCCTTCTCCTCCTGCTCCTCAGTCCTCTTCCTCCTCTTCCTCCTCCTCCTCCCTCTCAGTCATCCTCCTCAGCCATCCTCCTCAGCCATCCTCCTCAGTCCTCCTCCTTCTCAGTCCTCCTGAGTCCTCCTCCTGAGTCCTCCTCCTCCTCAGTCATTCTCCTCAGTTCTCCTCCTCCTCCTCCTAGGTCCTCCTTCTGGGTCCTCCTCCTCCTCCTCCTCCTGGGTCTTCCTGATCCTTCTCCTCCCTCTCAGTCATCCTCCTCAGTCATCCTCCTCAGTCATCCTCCTCAGCCATCCTCCTCAGCCATCCTTCTCAGCCATCCTCCTCAGTACTCTTCAGTACTCTTCAGTACTCTTCAGTCCTCAAAATGTTTGTCCGCTAATGTCCACCAATGTCTGCTAATGTCCACCAATGTCCATCCAAGTCCGCCAATGTCCGTCCGGGTCCGCCAATGTCCGTCCGAGTCCGCCAATGTCCGTCCGAGTCCGCCAAT